AGACCCCCTCTCCTCCTCCTGCCCGCACCCAACTCCGCCCCTCGCCGTCGCTGCAACTCCTCCGCTCGCCGACGACAGCCACCCTCGCCGAGTCCAAGCCCCGTCTCCGCTCGTCGTCACCCCTCCCACCTCAGTGAGCCGCGAGACCCCCTCTCCTCCTCCTGCCCGCACCCAACTCCGCCCCTCGCCGTCGCTGCAACTCCTCCGCTCGCCGACGACAGCCACCCTCGCCGAGCCCAAGCCCCGTCACCGCTCGTCGTCACCCCTCCCACCTCCAGTGAGCCGCACAGCGGGAAGAAGTTCCGAACAGCGAACCGAATCTGTGAGCTTCACTGCATAAAACTACAGTTCGGAGCCGACTTCGCCCGCGTTTTTCGACCAACTCCGACCTTCGTTTCCGTCGATTCCTTTGTTGGTGCGTAGCCCTTCGTGTTGTCTATCACACGGTATATTCCTTTCACTTGGGTTCCCTATCTATACCTTGTTATACTTGTTTGAATATCGCACGTCGCATTAACACTCTAATTGTAATTTTAGCCGTCGATTCCGCAAAACCCGTTGTAACGCTATGCAACCACCCCGACGACCCCCTCTACGGTTCACGATATACCCAAGGCAAGATCCCACTTGCTCAGAACTAAATTTTATATTTATTATGAATTATCTAAAATTTTAGATCAGTTAATAATTATCTGTGTGGGATTGTTTGATGAATAATATTAGATAAATTATAATAATATGACAATTAGTATTTTCAAAATAATTATGATAAATTAAAAGAATTTATTTCAATAGCGGAATCATTTTTGGATAATTATATTAATTAAAAAGAATTTATTTGAGAACGAAATCATTTTTGGAAAATTATAATAATTTAAAAGGAATTATCTTGAAAAAAGAATCATTTTGGAATAATTATAATAATTTTTTGAAATTATCTTGTGGAAGAAATTATTTTAGAATGATAAATATTTTTTTTTAAAATTTATTTTAGGAAAATAGACTATTTTGAATTAATGAGAATTTATCTTATAAAAAGATTATTTTTGAATTTATGAATTTATTATTTTCAAGGATTATTTTTAGAATTATTATAATGAGAAAAGAACTTATTTTGGAAAAATGAATTATTTTGAAATTAAATTAAAATAATTTAAATTGTAAAAGGAATTATCTTGAAGTAAATAAATTTATTATTTCAGAAGATTATTTTAGAACAATTTTATGATTTCTGATTCTTAATTATGTGTTATGCCTTGATATTATCGTACATGATCAATCATATTCTTTATTTCTGGTTGTGTTTGAGAACCGTTAGTAGTCATGACCGTAGTAGCCTTGCGTGACCTAGAGACATGTGTTGTGTTGACTTAGCAAAATAAGAAGAGTTGGGATGGGAAAGTCTGTGTTCATGTGATCAGATAAGACTGTTGATGTATCTTCCAGGCTTGCCCCATGATCTTGTGTAGCATTGGGGTTGGTTTGTTGGGTCAAGTGAAGCTTGTGTAGTCACTTTGGTCCGTGATTTTGACATTCACCCGAGTTTAGCTTGAGTTCGGACCAGGCTAAAATCGGATTACGTGTAGCCCTCTGACCGATCTTGTGTAGCGGCGTATTGGATGCACGTAGGGGATTTGTGAACAGTCAGTTATCCGATGATATGAGCGTTGACTCTATGTGAGATGTGAACCAGCGACCTGTTGTAGGATGGCTAGTTACATGATCTCGATTCTTGGCTATGTATGAATTCTTGTGAGATACGAACCAATTATGTTTCTTTTCATACATAGATTGGGATTAATATTTAATTATCTACAATTCGAGACATATGGTATATATATGAGGGCTTCCTTGTTTGGATTATTTTGCTCGACGTACTACGTCTCGAGTTGTAGATTTTAAGTATTAATTCCATCTAGTGTATGACTCTGTACTTGGATGATTATTCTGATTGCTAGCGGCATGATTGACTTGTTACTTGGTTGATTTCCTTGGATTTATTCTGATTATTCTATTCTAATAGTAAATTATATTTAGATTATTAGTATTTCAGTTGCATGTTTCCATTGTTATTACTATTATTGCATTAGTCGCACGACCGTTTCTATTCTTCCTTTTGGGATCTTGTCATGTGCGATGCACGCTGACGTACTCCTTTCCTCTTGGGATGTACGTCAGATTTAGAGGACGGACAGCTACAGTTCGGAGTAGTACAG